ACGTTAAGCGCATAATACCGTGGGATTTTTATGGCGTTATCGTCAGCATAGGTGTTGGCCAAGTCTCAGGTCATCGGATTAATGATTGAATCGGTGGATCGAGATTTAATATTAGTTTAAAATTAATATAATATACTGTAACATATTAAAAATACAAAATATATAACATAATATTATAAAAATATTGTATTATAATAATTCAATGCATTCTTCACAACAATATTATTACATTCAACAATTACGTTTCCATCGTCACAATACACACAATATTTAGAAACCAAAAAGAAGAGAGAGAGAGAGTTTGAAAAGCAACAATTACATGATCTCTAATAAGATGTCATCTTGCAAGATTCAAACTTATTATGGATACAACACACAAGATACTCCTATTACAATGACTTTTGATGGGATCCTCACCCTCAATCAGTTGTTAATCTATTAATTCTTATTTTGATGACAACATAAGCTCTATCATATATTTTATCAAACATCTGAAAATAGAAAACCCTCCAATTTTTCTTGAACAGCATAATGATAAATACGCTCCATAATCCAACCAAATATCCGAGTATGATACTCAGATAATATGATGGCGTAAAAGATTCGTCTTTGTTGTCTTCTTTTGTCACATTGTTACTTTTAAGATCGTAGCAACTCTTGGTGAGGGGAGCTCCACATAGATATGCATTGCCAATATAAATGGATGAGTCATTGAGTGTTTGTAGTTGATTTCCCGAAGGAATAACTCCTGATAAATTGTTGTAAGACAAATTCAAGTGATTCAGAGAATACAGGTCTGACAAGCTTTGAGGAATGCCTCCGGATAACTTATTAAATGATAGATCCAGAGTTTCCAATGACTTCATGCCACCAATTGTCGCTGGTATTTGGCCGACAAAATTATTTCTTGATAGATTTAAAGTTTGGAATGTCGAAAGAGACCCAATTTCTACTGGGATTTCTCCCGTCAAATTATTATTTGAAAAATCTATAATATTGACAAGGTAAACAATGATCGAAAAGATGAGACTATTTCCCTTTATAGTTAGAGTGATGCTATCATCATAAGTGCCATCAAAATTTAAAGATCGAAAAGGGCGACCCACATTCAATGCAGCATAACTTATATATTGGGCAGTAAGTCTATTATATTGACTAGTCAATTTTCGTTGCCTGTAAATTTTTGTTGCATTTAAATTGCCAAAGGAGCGTGGAATTGGCCCTGATAAATTATTATTAGCAAGGTCGATAATATGTAGATGATGAAGTTGTCCGAGCTCTGTAGGAATGTTACCAAAAAACATATTTGAGCATAGTCGGAGTACCTCTAGTTTTTGAAAATTTTGTGCAATCCACGTTGGTATGCTACCTGAGAATTTATTATCGCCAAGATCAAGAAAAACTAGTCCACTGCAATGTTTCAATGACGGAGGAAGATGCCCATGAAGACTATTATTGTTTAAGTGCAAAGACCGAAGCTGAGTCAACTTTTCAATAGAGCTAGGAATTTCTCCCGAGAGCTTATTATCTGCTAGATTAATGTAGATAATGATGTTCGTCTCTTGCCAACACCAAGGGATTTCACCTGATATTTGGTTGCTCGATAGATCGAGGATACGAAGTTGTGTCAAGTTGCAGATAAATGATGTTATGTTCCCACTGATATGGTTATGTGAGAGATCCAACAGTTCCAATTCTAGTGGGAGAGAGATTGATGACAACGATCCCGAAAAGGAATTATTATACAGATACAAATAACGCAAGTAAGGTGGCAAACGAGGAATAGGGCCTTCAAGCAAATTTATACTTAGTTTCAGAGTGGCTAGGTTTGTCATTTGCTCCAAGAAAGTTGGCAAAGTACCATTAATCTGATTTTGGGAGAGATTTATAGAAAAAGCGGAAATGTTCCAAAACCAATCAGGCAAGACGTCCTCGATGCTTGTGTTCGACAAATCCAAATCCTCAATGGAGTTCTGTGAACGGAGCCATCTTGGAAATGCAGGCCCCAACTTACAAGACTTCAGTTGAATGGATTGGAGTTGAAAAGTGGGAACCCAATTATAGTCTACTGAGATGACTAGGGAGTTTTCAGATAGATCGAGCTCACTTAGTTTGGTTAAGCGAGCGAAATGGAGTTCAGACACGGTGCCGTCTAGGGAATTACTAGAGAGAGAAAGAATATTGAGGTTGGAAAGATTGCCAATCTCAGTAGGTAACGATCCAGAGAGTAAATTATTCGTGAGATTGATAAGTTCTAGACTATTCAAAATTCCAATCTCAGTGGGTACGGGACCTGAAAGTGAATTATCACTAAGATGAAGTTCTCTTAGATCGGCCAAATTTCCAATCCCAGCGGGTATGGCACCATGAAACATAGAAAAACTGAGATCAAGATAAGAGAGTCTGTGGAGTTTCCATAGCCAGTTGGGGATGGTGGAGTTGAAGAGGTTGTCACTGATGTCCAGAGTGGCCAGTGCTGTGAGGTTGACATGGGAAAGAGAAGAGGGGATGTCGGTGAGGCCACAGTCATGTAAATGTAGCCCCTCTAGTGAGGACAACATGTTCACTGCTTGAAGCCAATCGTGGGAGGCCACGGAAAGGTTCACACCGCCCATGTAGAGGTATCTCAAGGAAGAGAGACGCGAGAGCCAGTGCAGGCCATCGATCGTTAAGTCATGTAGTGAATTTAGGTCGAGATAGCGGAGCCTGGACAGGTTGCCCAGCTGGGGCGGAATGGCTCCGCCGAAGTAGGACCCGTTGAGGTCGAGATACGTCAACTTGGTAAGGGAACCAAAAAATTCCGGGATTTGGATCCCACCGAAGTCATTGTTGCTGAGGTCGAGGCGCTCCAAATGAGTTAGCAGGAGCAAGGATGGTCTGATCTCACCTCCGATAGACATCTCATCGTTATCAGGGTCGGAATTCTGGAGGTTGAGCTCCACGACATGGCCGGTTCTGTTGTCACAGACCACCCCGCTCCATCTGCAGCAGTCTACTCGGCCTCGCCATGATGACAAACGGCTGGAAGGATCCTTGACGATGCCGGTTTTGAAGTCGAGGAGGGAGTCCTTCTCGCCCTCTACGCACCCCTTCGTCGTCGGCGTTGTTGCCGCCGTGAACAAAAGAATGCTCGTAAGCCAAAGCCCGAAAGAGTAGTGCCGTGGCACAGGGTGTGTGCTTCTGCTGC